CTTACACTGCAGTGTGCACACGAAACTGCAACGTGACGAAAATACATTCACACACGTGAATTGGTTACCATGAAATCTTAAGTTTGCATAGTCTGCTTCACTTCAACTAAAGTGATAGTTCAAGGAGGATGCTTCTTAAAACAACCTTATGTGGATATTTAGCTTTAAAATGTAGAATTCACTTAAAGAATACTTTTTTTTTATGTAGAAACCTAAAATACGACTTTTGTCCCTTTTGTAAATTTAAATTTAAAGTATTTGCGAATAAATAATAAACTTTTATATCGAGGCCAATCAATTTCTACAAGTGAACGCAAACTCATAAATTCCACCTGTACAGCAAGATATGTTTTTAGCCTGTACATTTTCACAAAAACCTGATGATCATATTTACACGATAAATGAATTTGTATCTTTCTCTTTTATTTAAAAAACAGTACAATATATATATATATATATATATATATATATATATATATATATATATATATATATATATTTATATATGTGTCGTAGGATGATTCTAATCATTCAATCATTCTAATTTTCGCAAAAACCTAGGGACAATGCGAAAACACATTAATTAGACAATGGTGAAAACATTTACATTCCCAATATCTATATTATATCGGATAACGCGAAAATTCGATTTATCAAATCATCCTACAACATATACCTACGAGTACATAAGTGAGCCAAATTATGAATTATAGAAAATATCGATAGGATAAGATATAGAGTAGGGAAAAGGGCATATGTACTTAGATTATATCATGCAGTAATTATATTACAAACTCTGTACAATGTACATATGAGGGTCTAGTGCCTACGAACTACATTTTTCCATCCATTCTAGGGGATATTTCGCTATCAATGGTATTATGTTGTCTATCAGTAAGTCAATAAGTCGTGATATAACTTTTTACAAACATGGATTTATTGTACCGTACATTAAATCCGCCATCTAATCTTGCGTGCAAGTTTTTTTTCGCTTTATTAAACTGCCCCAGTTTAAAGTACAAAAGATCACTGCCTGGTTTATCGACCTCAGTATTCGTAATCTCTATTCAAATGAAACAAGAGAGAACAATTAACAGTTATAGTAAACTCAAGTTAACTTAACGTGATCTATACAGATATAAAGCTACGATACGTGATAACATGCCATGAATATCATGTTTATGGTTTTGGGCCATGTTTGTTATGGTGGGGTGGCTTAGTAGCATTCGATGGTTCAGCTGGTCGTCAAGCCAGCATACGCACTTTGGAGGTGGATCACCTAGTCGGGCGAGAAGTGTAACAAGAGGGTTGCTCATGTTCTAATAGTAGAGTGTACCATGAGAACCCCTTAGTTGTCGACTGTCGTAAACGTTCATAACTTATCCCCAATTCCAAAGTCAGGAGAGCCGAGGAGATGAATGGTTGAAGAGCAATCAGCTTTATATCTGATTGGCTTTTGCTCAGTTTATTTTTTTGCAAAATCAAAAAGAGATCATTTTAAGCTACATTTTGGGTTTTAGTCATTAAAGTACTTTAAAGTACTTAGGCTGTAAGATATTGTATAATAATCCCTCCACGACCGCGGATACGCCGGCGTGTCAGTTAACAATAGATTTCTTAGAATTTTAATTCATTTCTAATAATTTACCTGGAGTTGATAATAGTCTAGTCAACAAGTTCAAAAACGTGTTAAATAGATATAAAGCTCCTAAAAATATGTGCCATAGCTCATTCGATTCGGAATGACGTCTAGAAAAATGTTTTTTAAGGGCATATTAGCACATAAAAAATTGCAATTGTTATTAACAAAATAAGATAAAAAAAAGGTATTTAGTTTTTCGTTAATAACTTTTAAAATAATGATATTTAAGGAATTATGAAAAAAGATCCTGACAGAGGAGGAAATTTCCAATGAAAAAGTCCTAACTCCCGGAACTCTATCTATATTATTTATAATTTTTTTTAACGCTGGAAATAGGGCTCCGCGAGGGCGTTACGGCATAGGCGCGCCGTCTAAAAAGCCGGTATATCACCTAAAATAATTTTTTTCTAATATTAAATAACAATTTAAAAATTTGAATAAATTATGGTGTAATCTAGACACTTGAACGAAAAAAACCTCGGTGAAAAAAAATTTTTTTGACAATTTTTCAAAAAGTTACACCATTGTTAATTAACTAATTTTTTTCCAATCTCTGTTTTTATAAATTACGGCATAAAAGTTTAAATAATTGGTCTATAAATTTTTCGCTTCGTGGAGCTCTTCTTATTTAGGTACTTAATAAAGTTATGCAAAAAAAAATTATTAAAGTTTATTATTTTGTTAATTATAATTTTTTTAAATTAACTAAAAATGAAATTTCTAAAAAATGTTATCAAAAATAATTTTTTTTGGTAATATCTTATTATTGCTGTTTTTGCATCTAATATAGGTAATAATTAACATTGGAAAAAAAAATTTCCGTCATTTGTTAAGAAATTGTTTATAAACAAATAGACTATTTTGGGATTTTTAAAAAAAAATTTTTTACTATCTTATTGCATAGGTAAAATGATGATTTTAAAAAAAAATTTTTTTCTTAAATATTTTTTTTTATTGTTTATAATCGTTTTTTTTATATTTCAATTGTTTAAATAATTAGTTAAGAAATTATTTTATTCTTAAAAATCATCATTGACCCTTTTCAATGGAATAACAGAGAAATATTTTTTTTTTATAAATAAGTAATTTAATTGTTTATTAACTTTACAATTTGTTATAAACAAATAATATTAACCGTTATATTTTTTTTCGAAAACTTCAAAAAATTACAAAAACAACCTTATATAACAAAGTTAAGAAAAAAAATTTTTTGTATTTTTTACAACAAAATTTTTTCATAATTCCTTAAATATCATTATTTTAAAAGTTATTAACGAAAAACTAAATACCTTTTTTTTATCTTATTTTGTTAATAACAATTGCAATTTTTTATGTGCTAATATGCCCTTAAAAAACATTTTTCTAGACGTCATTCTGAATCGAATGAGCTATGGCACATATTTTTAGGAGCTTTATATCTATTTAACACGTTTTTGAACTTGTTGACTAGACTATAATATTGTACTAATAATACTACCTTTTCCTTGATTATTTAGGGTATTACCCAAATAATTTAACTGAACCAAAGAAACATACTTTTAAATATTCATCAAAACTAGTTGAATATATATAAAGGAATATAAAGTACAATTTTCCTCATCTACATTAACATAACAAATAAGTAAATAGATTCAATCTATACTTATATTATAGAGAGACAAAGTTTGTTTGTTTGAAAGTGCTAATCTCAGGAACTACTAAACTGATTTGAAAAATTCTTTTTGTATTAGATAGAATGTTTATTGAGGAAGGCTATGGGCTATATATCATATAATACATAGTCTATCCATTACATACTAACCGTTAAACATACCTAGGGAAGAACCCGAGCAAAGTGAAGTTGGCTAGTATCATATAAGTACTTAGGTTTAAGGAAATTAAAAATAAAACCAATTGAAACTTAATTTCTTATATAACATCAACATGGTTAATAAATAGTCCTTAAGACAGTCCCAATAAATAATTAAAAAAAAAACATTCCCCATTATTTATTTAATAAAACTACATGGTTTAGTATACTAAAATATTATGCTTAATTCTCCTGCATAGATTATCTTCCATGGACTGGCATGATGCTCTCTCATATTAATTATTTATAATTATGTAATATTTCAAATCTATTGTGAACTGTCACATCACATCTTTTTCTTTTCATGTATATTTGACATAAAAAAAAATTATGCTCTATTTAAGTCACTGGTCAGTAGGTGTTACTTTAACACAGGTTTAGGTCACAATTTTACTTACCTCAAGTCAATATCTTTAAAATATTTTCATTATTATTTCTCATTAAGATACAAGTAACAAGCAATTTTAAATTCATATATTTTACCTATATTTGTTTATTTTGATGACATGAAGATGCTACAACAATAACTACAGAAGTGAGATAAGATGCAAAATTATGATACTACTATACTATCTATTATTTATTAAAATTAGAAGTGCTTGTTTAAAATAAATTTGAACCATTTAATATATGCATGATAATAGTGCAATATATTAAAGAACAAGTTAATTGGGAAAACCTGCATAATAGATTTTTTTTATTTATAGGCATAGACATAGGCTACTTTTATCCCAGAAAAATACATGATTCCCGAGGGATAGAATTATTTTTGTATTTCTTATATTATTTGTAATAGTATTCAATATTTTTTACAAAGAAAAACACATCTAATATCCTAAAGCATATGTTTCATTATACTATATAAATAATCCAACAATAAAATTATCCTGTTCTGTGTATTTATTGAATTCAGTTATTTTACATACAGTCCTTGGTGTTAACAGCTACATACATATTTTTCAATGGTTGAGCTAATTTTTTTTCTTTTCTTTACTATAATAGACTATACTCAGTATTGCATAAAGTATAAGTGAATCTTTTAATTTTATTGATTTATACTGTCATTAAATATGAAATCAAATGGAAAATTCTAATAATAAAAACTATTTAGCAAATATAAATTAATACTAAATATTAATGTGTGTTCTAAAATAACTTGTGTATACTATGACTTGACATACTATGACATATTTATATTTTATGTATACAATATTTGTTTATGTTTGAAGAATAAAAAACAACTTACTTTAAAGAAAAATAATGAATTTCCTAAATGGTCGAAATATGTGCCATTGTTCAATTTAATGTTACATCGTTTATTTATTGCCACAGAAATAGTAATTAAACAATAAACATAGATTTTCAAATATAAATAGACCAGAGTAGTTGAATGAAATACTTGACTGGTAGTCATGTAGAGTTAAGTGAGCACTTTTAAAGCTTGTAAACAAGTTCAAGACTTTAAAATATTTTACGATTCGAGTAGTTTCCAAAAAATTTTTTACTTACAGCCATCACCATCTCAAACGAGTACTTGTGTACCCTCACGGGGGAAACGTATTCTTGAACCATGGTTACAAATAAGCAAAGCAAACGTCTTTTTAAAGAAAAAGGATCAAAGATCCTTTATGAGATTCAATTTACACTACAGTCATTATTCATCAAAGTTCACTAGCTCACTGTCTTGTCTTATAACTTATTATAAATAATCCCCTTCACTTTCTATTGAACATGACAAAAATAAACGAGTAAACGAATGTCAAATAAAGACAAAATGCGCGAGTCGCGACAAACAGCAATCGGCAGCGTACGTGTATATAGAGTGAAATGTGAATTGATTATTCACACTGAAGTTTGTAACAAGCAGTTTATTTTTTGACATTTTATTAGTATATACTTGCCATATATAAAATATAAATTATCTACTAAGAAAACTTTGAAAATGTCATTGTCAATTTAAAAAGTTCATTTTTTTTGTTATACATATCTTAATAAAAAAAATATTTAAAATTTAAATTGTGTATGCCATTTATCACATAATAATTATAATAAACGTAAAAACATTTTTTTTTATTTTAATATTACGATATTTTTTTATTTGAATAAACCGCATTTACATAAATTATGGTAATGTAAAAAGAAAAAATAATCAAACTTAAAAAAGGACATACCAAAATTTCTTGTCATACAATAATTTAAGTATTAGTCAGCTTTTATGAAAATTTAATAAAGAAACCACTTCCGCAGAGCTTTTTATCCACGTTGATTGTAGCTAACTTCAAGACAGTGAGTAAGCGGGCCTTCAACGAAGCGAAGAGCGAATTGCGAATGTCGTCCGCAATTATATGAAGATTATTTCTTTGTTATATCGCAGAAACGCAAAGCAAAATTCCATCAAAATTGTGCGCGTTCGTGCCCGATGTCTAGTGCTGAAGTCGCCGATAATTCCGTTGACCCCCCGGCGAAAAAGCGGAAGCTAAATACAGGAGAGGCTAGTTGCAAATCCTCAGTAATGGCGAACAATGGAACGCGCGTGGAAGATGAAATCGACGAGAGCTTGTATTCGAGGCAGCTTTATGTACTGGGACACGATGCTATGCGACGAATGGCCAGCTCTGACGTTCTTATTTCGGGTCTCGGTGGTTTGGGAGTAGAAATTGCTAAAAATGTCATACTCGGCGGCGTCAAGTCTGTAACCCTTCATGATGACCGTACATGCACCGTTTCAGATTTATCATCCCAATTTTACTTGTCTGAAGCAGCTATTGGTCAAAACAGAGCATTGGCTTCCTGCGAACAGCTTGCAGAGCTCAATCACTATGTACCAACAACAGCGCATGTTGGTGCTTTAGATGAAGAATTTCTTAAAAAATTTCGTGTAGTTGTGTTAACTGGGGCATCTTGGGCAGAGCAAGAACGTATATCTGCTATTACGCATGCTAACAATATTGCCTTGGTCATTGCAGACACTAGAGGATTATTCTCGCAGGTATTCTGTGATTTTGGGCCCGAATTTACGGTAGTAGATGTAACCGGTGAAAATCCAGTTTCAGCTATGGTGGCTGGCATCACTCACGAATATGAAGCCGTAGTCACCTGCTTAGATGATACTCGCCATGGGCTTGAAGATGGAGACTATGTTACTTTTAGTGAGGTTTGTATAACTTCTTTATCAAACAAAGAACTTTTATCATTAACTTATTTATTTTTTTGACCAGAAATTTTATTTTGTGCATTCTTTACTTTTTTAAAAAGATGCCATAACAAATGATGTCATTTTTAATGATGAATTAACTATAGAAATCATGATTTTAAATAATTTCAATTGAAATGAATAGGATACTTTATGAGCAAATATGTATAAACATAGTAATAGTTTTTTTTTGTCATGATCCACTCTTTGCTTGAGTGAGATGAATCACAGTCCAATAAACTTTGCATAATTATTGTATATTAAAACATCTAAAAAAAACAATGCAATCATTAATAATGTTTCCTTTGTACATAATGATATATGAGTAACTAACAGGATTAGATTATATGGTTTGTTTACACATAAGTAGTTTGTATGGTTTTTCTACTTTGTGAACAGAAAACCTTAGAAATATCTTAGATGAAATACCATTAAGTTTTATGAACTTCAATAATGTGATTTTTTTTCATCAATATTTAATATAGATATAATATCTTAACTTACTCTCTGTGAAAGCATGGTATATATTTTGCTATTAAATTCAATTTATAGGTGCAAGGTATGGCAGAACTGAATGGCTGTGAACCACGCAAGATCAAAGTTCTTGGACCTTATACCTTCAGTATTGGAGACACCACTAACTTTTCTAAATACATCCGAGGAGGCATTGTTACACAAGTTAAAATGCCCAAGAAAGTGAATTTCAAACCTTTAAGTGAATCTATAAAGAATCCTGAGTTCCTTATCACTGATTTTGGGAAAATGGACTATCCTCAACAGCTTCATGTGGCTTTTTCTGCCCTTCATAAGTTTAAAGATGCTGAAGGAAATCTGCCAAAACCCTGGTGTGATGCAGACGTTGCAAAGTTCATGGATCATGTGAAGAATATTATCCAAAATGAAGAATTATTTAAGATTGGAGAAATAGAAGTCAATAATGAGCTTATGGAGACATTCTGCAAAGTATGTAATGTTATATTTATTTTGTTCCCAATACCATTAACCAATAAAAGGTTTATAAATAAAAAAAAATCTTTTCAGTTTTTTTGCAGATCTATTACAAATGGCTGGCATCAAAAATCAAAATAAATCTGTATTTTGATTTTTGATGCCAGCCATTTGTAATAGATCTGCAAAAAAAACTGAAAAGATAGTATTTAAAATATCAAATATTCATGTAAATCTAAGAAAAAACAATTTGCTATTATAAGTATCTGGAAAATATTGTCATTGCCAGCCACAATACTATCCACTGATAGAAATAAATACTGAGTCATAGCTATAATACTTGTGAATACAAAATGTATTACCTAGAAGTAACAGTGCAATTAGCATGCAGTCCATATATTATGTCACAGTTTATATTTTGTGAAAAGATGAAAAGGAACTTTAACAACTCATGATATGAATCAGTGACTGTATTAAATTTTTCAGTGCCATCATATTTTAATATTTTTATTTATTATAACCACAATGAATTTTTGATGAATGAAAACTATTCAGTTCACTTTTTTAGTTTTGTGGCTTCTTGGAGTGTCATTTGGGCAATTTATTTTGCACATGTCGCATAGAATGGAGAAGACGCATTAGGTATAATATATAGAATGACCAGTAATAACAACAAAAAGCACTAGATCTGATTACATGTAGAAGCAGAGCCATTTGTAACGAAAACTATTCATTTTTAACATATTTTATTTTCTAAAATTGTGGGCTTATGTGACTTATGTTCAACTTTCTTCACCTTTATATATTTTTTTCATTAGGTATCAGCTGGAGATATAAATCCTATGAATGCAGCGATCGGTGGTGTCGTGGCTCAAGAAGTTATGAAAGCTTGTTCTGGAAAGTTCCATCCTATAGTTCAGTGGTTATACTTAGATGCTATTGAATGCCTTCCAAAAGATAAATCTATCCTGAATGAAGAGAATTGTAAGCCTACAGGCTCCAGATATGATGGTCAAATTGCTGTATTTGGAAAAGATTTCCAAAAGCGACTTGGCGAATTGAAGTATTTTATTGTTGGTGAGTTTATATTTTTACTAGCGATTTACGCTCGTTTTGTTCGTGTGTGTCCCTAAATACGTTTGAATTTTTTTGAATGGAACCTTTATTCTTTTCTAAGAAAAAAATTTAAAATTCTGTTTTTCTTGTAAGTACCATATATAATTTCATATGGATTTATTACTATATTACTGTTATTTTACAGATACTTCAATGTTATTTATTTGTATAGAATTATTATTGATCTTGTGTTCATATTAGATTTGTTATATTTATATAATATATTGTTTGTATGATATGTTGAATATAGGTACATGTATTTTTTCATCATCCAATAACAATCCGGAATTGAAATAAATCTTCTTATTGGTGAATAAAATTAGAATATTTCTCCAAGATTAATGAAGTTAACAAATTGACAAAGACAATTGACTTTAAGATTTGCTTTAACAATAGATAAATTGCATTATCATGATAAGGAATCATTGAACTAATTTTAAGTAATTGAAGCAAAATGGTTGTTGTGTTTTTGCCTGCAACATTAATTGTGCAATTTATTACAGTACCCTGCTCTTTTATGTTGGGACTCAACAGGTGATATAGTAGATCCCAAAACTTCCCTCAGTAAACAGACTGCCCAATTAAAACTAAATTTTGAAATTGGACTGATAGTTCATGACATTTTTATTGTGTTCTAACAAAACAACTTTATATATGTATGTTTAAAATAAAAATGAAGCATTATTAGCATATATTTATTTTAAATATATATAGAATATAATAATAATATAAATTTTCCCATTTCAATTTTTTACATATTTCTTAGTGTATTTCATATATAAATATGATTAAAATTTGCTTATTTTTTGCTGTTGTGCCAATTTGTATATTTGTTTTAGCAATACAATTAATTTCTCATTGACGGAGTTATAATATTTTTTTAATTTTTAAGGTGCTGGTGCCATTGGCTGTGAGTTGTTAAAGAACTTTGCGATGATCGGCGTGGGGGCGGACGGTGGGCGCGTCACCGTCACTGACATGGATCTCATTGAGAAGTCTAACCTGAACAGACAGTTCCTCTTCAGGCCTCATGATGTGCAGAAACCCAAGTCTAGCACTGCTGCTAAGGTGTGTGGGACATAATGTAGTACGGTTAAGATTATTTATTTTATTGTAGGACCAATTTTTCTTTTGGTGTTTGTCCCCTTTTATATAGTTTAATATCTGATGGTAGGTTTGAAAGATTCCAATCCACATATTTCAGAACATTTATCTGTGTCACGGATTTTTGTCACGTAATTAATATATTAAATTAATAATTAATTATTCTAATCCCATGGGAGCATCCCGAAAATCCATTCACTCCATTCATACAAAAAAAAATGATTGACTTACTATTTTATGTCACTATTTTAAAGTTGATTAAAAACAGGTACTTTGATTTGAATCAGATTAAATTTAAATATAAGTATAACAGAACATTTTTTCAGGTTATCAAACAAATGAATCCATTTATGAATGTAGTGGCACAAGAGAACAGGGTGTGCCCAGAGACCGAGTCAGTGTATGATGACGCCTTCTTTGAAGCATTAGATGGTGTGGCCAATGCTCTTGATAATGTAGATGCAAGGATTTACATGGACAGACGCTGTGTGTACTACAGGAAGCCTCTGTTGGAGAGTGGCACTCTTGGCACTAAGGGTAACACGCAGGTATGTAAATTCTTTTTGACAAATTTTTATAACTTATAACAACTATGATTTATTTTAAATAATTAGTGTCTCACGTGACCATGATTGCTGTAAAGCATTCGAAACGTTGGGAACCAAAAATTAAAATAAATCCACAAAATAATCTGAAAAAATAGTTTTATTTAAAATGTCAAATATTCAAGTAAATCCAAGAAAGTATTATGTGAAGTATGATTTAATGTAAACTTTTGATTTAATATAAATGAAATATCCCTATTTTCTCTTGAGTTTGTAATTTATAAATATGATAAATGGATGAAGATGTTGATATGGATACTTCATTACGTAATTGAAGTTGATTAGCTTTGATTCTATGTTAATTGCTGTAATCTTTATTTTGATTGATATATACAATCATGTTTTATCTGGTGCTAGAAGGTTAGTTTGAAACAGCCCTATGTCAATACACCTAATATTATGCAGTAAAAATAATAACTTTTTTTTTAGGTTGTAGTACCTTTCCTCACCGAATCCTACAGCTCTTCGCAAGACCCACCAGAGAAGAGCATACCAATATGCACCCTCAAGAACTTCCCCAATGCCATTGAGCACACACTGCAGTGGGCAAGAGATGAGTTCGAGGGTCTCTTCCGTCAAGCAGCTGAACATGCAGCTCAGTATCTTAGAGACCCTCACTTCTTGGAACGCACCATGAAGTTACCCGGCAGTCAGCCGTTAGATGCATTGGAAAGTGTTAGGGTATGTAACATTTTTGTTAATATTTAGTTTTCACAGAAGTAAAACATCTTGACAAAATGATTACCATATTAATGTGGGGAATTAAAATGTAGTAGAGAAATCTGCATGTCTGAGAGAATATAACAAAGTTTCCTGAACGAATTAAAACATGTATTGAAATTAAAGAGTATAAAGAAATTGAGGAAATGAAAAGAATGTTATGCTCATGTGTTTTTAGTTTTCTAAGCTATACTAATTGTAGAAATCAATCTTTTCTAAGTAGCTATTAATTTTAAATAATATTCGTCATGAAGTCATTACATTGAAATCTTTTTTCTTTCATTATTGTTTTAACCAGTGCCTTGTCTTAATTGCAGAATGCAATCAACGAACGACCGCTAAACTTCGATGACTGTGTCACATGGGCTCGTCTCCACTGGGAGGCGCAGTACTCCAACCAAATCAAACAGTTACTGTACAACTTCCCCCCCGACCAGACCACTACAAGCGGTGCACCGTTCTGGTCTGGACCCAAGCGTTGCCCCTCACCCCTCAACTTCGACCCTGAAAATGAACTACATTTAGACTATGTAGTAGCCGCTGCCAACTTGAGAGCTCAAGTGTACGGATTGCCGCCTTGCGTGGATAGGGAGAGGATCGCGAAGGTTGCTAATGTTGTCCAGGTTGGTTTTTTAATAATGTTATTTTTTAATTTACATTCTAGTTTAACTAAATCATTGTTTTTATTAATATTATTTACAACAAGTTAATTTTTATTAATAATATTTCAGAAGGTTCTTTATATTAAAACAATTTTAACTTATAATGTTTTGTAGGTGCCGAAATTCAAACCGAAATCTGGCGTAAAAATCGCAGTCACAGACGCTCAGCTGCAGCAGAACAATGACGACATGGACCAAGACAGGGTAAAGAACATAGTGTCCGACCTCCCGCCGCCCAATAAACTAGGCTCCTTAAAAATCACTCCTCTAGACTTCGAGAAGGATGACGACACCAACTTCCACATGGATTTCATCGTGGCAGCATCCAACTTACGTGCGGCTAACTACAAAATCCCTCCGGCAGACAGACATCGTTCTAAACTCATCGCGGGTAAAATCATACCCGCCATAGCAACTACCACATCGGTCGTCGCCGGACTCGTGTGCCTTGAATTATATAAACTCGCCCAAGGCTACAATAACCTAGAAGTCTTCAAAAACGGTTTCGTCAACCTCGCTCTACCATTTTTCGGCTTCTCTGAACCAATAGCCGCTCCGACCAACACTTATTATGATAAGAAATGGACTCTGTGGGATCGATTTGAAGTGAAAGGTGAAGTGACTCTGCAAGAGTTCATTGATTACTTCAAAAATGAACACAAACTAGAGATCACTATGCTCTCTCAAGGTGTATGCATGCTTTACTCATTCTTCATGCCGAAAACTAAACGTCAAGAACGACTCAACTTGCCTATGTCTGAAGTAGTCACCAAAGTATCAAAGAAGAAGCTGGAGCCACATGTTAAAGCTTTAGTTTTCGAGTTATGCTGTAACGATGAAGACGACAACGACATTGAAGTGCCCTATGTTAAATATACTCTGCCTTAACACCTATACAATCAAATCACAAGCCAAAATCATTTTAAAAATTGGCATTTTTGTGGCATTTAAATGCAAAGAAGGGTATATTTGAAGGTTTAGTGCCTGGACAATGTACAGTGATAGTGTTAACCGTGTGAGTTGATTTGTGCTTTAAACACGCTTTTATCGTCTATCTTTCATATATTTATAGTAGTATAATTATTTGCTCACGTCGCGCTAATAATTTGATTCATTTACAGTTTGAATTTTAATGTTAATGAGGGTCTTGTATATGGGAGAATAAAATACAATAAAAATATCGAGCGAAGTTTTGTTTTATTGTTACATAGTTAATTGTTCTTTGGAAAATATCAGTACAAACAGTATAAAAGAAGTGTTACAACTAGACCTTACATATTGAAGTGACTGCAAACATAACCTCTCCTTTAAACTAGGTTTAACTAAACCTCGGTTTCACTTAACACTTTGTTAATAATGTAGATTGTGTTATGACTAGAAAATATTGTTCCTTCTGCAATTTTTCTTAAAAAAATTCAAATCAACGCCATAATAAAAGTAAAAAAACACAATATTACAAAATAAAAAGAAAAGGCTAAAAATCTGACTTGAAACTATAAAAGATAAATAAAAAATATAGGTATATAAAAGTATTTTAGGCATCAGCAGAAGCCATTACACAACCTTCATTTACAATCATATTATTGTTTGTATTAGACCTTGTACTGCAAAAACTATTCTAGGTTAAATTATTGTAACTTACAATTATTTCTATAAGGGAATGTTTATTTATACTACCTATACTGCCTATACCATTATTGAAATCCCATCATTTTAAATTAATGCAAATTAGATGTACTTGTTTGAAATGATAATGAACTATGTACATAAAATGTACTGCTAAGAAATTCCTTGAACATTGTTATGTTTCTATTTAATTATTTTAATAGTTTTTGAACTATTCAGTCAGATAGTCAACCAGCAGTTACGTTCCATTAGTAATGTTAGCAGTTTTTCCCCAAAATTATACATCAGTTATAAAAGTGTAATAAATATTAAATACATAAATAATAATTTAAGTTTTGTAGACATATTTGTTTCTATTTCATAAAAAGTTTGAACCGCCATTCGAGAGTTTAATAACTATCATTTTAATCAATATTCATTTTGTGAAAACTTACGAGATAAATATGCTAACAATAGTTTGACACCTGTTATGCAAATAAGTTAAAATTTAAAACAATGAAGATATGATATACTAGCGACCCTCGCTTCACTCAGGTACGTTTTAATTTTTTTGAGCGGAACCCTAATTCTTTAAAAAAATTAAATTAGCCAAGTTACTTATAAGCCAGTAAAAGTCCCATCAAAATCAGTCCAGCCATTTTGGAAATTTGCCGAAACAAACAGGCAAAAACACAAATTTTAAAACATGTGTTGTACTTAAAGGTGGCGTATATAATTTCTTATGTGTTTAGTAAAAAGTTGTTATTTTGACATTAAAAACAGACACTTAGGTAAACGCTTATTAGAAATTACTCAGTACATAATTCCTTTAGTAACAGTTCAATTGACTATTTAATAGCAAAGCAAAACGGGTTTGAGCGCTGATTCTCACTTGTGCAGATTAGAAAATTTAGGTCAGTTTAATTTTATTGCGAGACGTGGGGGAGGACGTGACTGGATAAAACGAGCTAACGCGTTTTCTAGATCTATAATGACAGCGCATTTTATATTAGAATATCTTTTCTTTCTTTAATAAAAATAGACCATAAAAAAACCTGCAAAATAAAATGTACCTATTCTAAACTTTGACTTTAAATTTTAATATAAGCGCCTTGAAGCTATATAGACTAATTATTAATAAATAAATATACAACTATTCGGACAACCCTAACATATTGCATTGTTAGTAAAATACAGTAAAAACGCTAACGTTTTACTGAAAGTATAAAAATAGCAACCTCAAATACTTATTGTTTTAGCGCTCACAACCCGTAGCGATAAAAGAAATCTTAGCATGCAAAATTCAAACAGTCCCCTGTATATTTAATAGCACGATTATTATATTATCATATGCGTTTAAAAAAGCTTTTATATTTGTATTGTAAAACAGTCAGTGATGTAAGGCACTGTGGTCGGGGGAGTGTCAGCGCCACGGACGGCGCCGCGGGCTCGGCATATAGCGGCGCATCATCTTATCCTTACTAAATGTCTCTGAAATATCAAAAAATGGGAATTTTGTAGGTAATTTACTAGCATAAGGAAAATTGAAAAGATAATACAGTGAATAGCAGGTAGTGATTATTATGGCGTAGGTCACTTGGCGCTTGTTCAATTGCAAATGCATTTCATACCATTTAAAGTCACGTAACTATTCAGATCAGGTCTTTAACTGAGACATAATTAGAGCTTTTACAGACGGGCTTACAACTCAATGAGGCTGTGTTATATGCAAAGCATTCAACGATAAAATTATTATAAAGTTTAAATGTATCATGCTAATATAATCATTTATACATAATATGTACATGCATAAAATAAAAAATATAAATTTCAAAAAGAACATTGAATACATGAAATGTGTATAAATATGGAAATAAAATTTTGTGTATGGCAATACTTAATGAACAGTGTATATTTTGAAGCTGGCAACATTCACATATAACAGTGTTACCATAATTAGACTGAGTCATGAGCGAGGGCGGAGGGCGCTTCGAGCGCGCAGGGAACACGCCGCTGTGGCTTTGCGACATGAGATCCCTATAAATATTATTTAAATACCAATCATAATATAATACACCGATACCATTGTTAATACATAAATATTAATTTTATATTTTTTTTAATTAATAATTGTAGACTTATTTATTATATTAGTTGTTGTAGTTGTTTTTATTTAGTAATATTATATACATAGACTAATCGTTAATATATCTAAGCTATATTATATATTTATCCTTATATAGCCTTCGTAAAAAAACGTACGAAATATTTTAGTTAAAAAAATGTGGTAATTTATGAATAAAACTTTTCATTACTAAGCTTTATACTTAAGCTTAGATTTTTAATAAAGTATAAAATAACTTACGTAGGCCGGTAGTGTGTATGCGTCAAGTGTGCTGGGAGCGGGGAGAGGCGTGCGGCGAGCGAGCGCCGGCGGCTGCGGTCTGCCGCGAGCAGCGCGCACCGCTCCGCAGCACTGCTCGCCACGAACGTGTCATGGAGCGAGTAGCACGCTGCTGTTATCTATTATCATTATTATTACACTTTATTTCTCAAAATACATACTGATATTATAAATGCGAAAGTATCTCTGTTTGTCTATCTGTTAACTTTCCACGCTTAATTCGCTGAACTGATCTAGATGAGATAGTTTGAGGCCCTGGAAAGACATATGATAGTTTTTATCCCGGAAATCATCCCTAAAGGAGGGCGGAAGTTTATATGGGGAATCAGTCATTTCTCAAGTAAGGAATTAAATTCATAATATGTATATATCTTTCCATTACGAGCGTCAAAACGTACGCACGGACGAAACCGAGCAAAGCGAGGTTCAGTGCTAGTACATAATATACAAGTATCTTAAAACCAACTACAAGACACCTTTTATATATATACTCAACTATGTGTTAAAAAATAAAAACGTGCATAAAGTACAAATGTATGGGAAATTTTGTTATTATATTTGGTATTTTTAAAGTCTTAAAAATCCCAATGTAAAATATAAATGAGCAAGACTAAATACATGACAAGTTAGAAATTATTTATATGAACATATTTAAATTGTCCATGCACTTGTAGACCAGGGTCGATAATTTTTAAAACCAAAAAAAATAATAGTAGGATGAAACCCATTAGAAAAGGAGGGGAATATTATAAAAATGAAAGGAAAAATAATTTACGGGCGATCTGAGGACGGGAAGGGGATGGGGATGAGTTTTTAAGGGTAAAAACCGGTTTTTCTCGATTTCCGGCAAAACTAAAAGTCCTATCGTAAAAAGTCATATGGCAAAGTTGTAGGTAATAAAAAGATCTAAAACTTTTGTATTTACACTTTTTTCACATAACCTCAAAATTTATGTGAAAAATTCAAAAAACCAAGTTTTTGGTTTTTTATTTTTATCTTTTACAAAAATAATTTTTTTTAACGAAATTTGGTGAAAACTTACCTTTTTATGTCCCAAATACGCTGTAATCTATTTGATTAAAAATATTTATTTTTTCACCTTATTTTGAATTAATATCGAAAAAGCACTCTAATTTTCAATCGAAAATTCACCCGTCAAAATATCAGCTATTTTCAAAAAGTTGGTATGTTTTCTGTTCGTTGAAATCTCTACTTTCCGATGGTGAAAAAAATATATGTTAGTATAGTAAATCTTCTGAGAAAATGCAAAAAACAAAAAACCTTTTTTATTTCATACACTTGCTTATCATCTGCCTTATTGCAGATGATACAAACAGATTCATCCATACTGATAATCTGAAAAGACAAAATCGAATTAATAATGCCTTCACTACACTACTTCGTGAGTATACCCCCATGAAAAAAAAATATTAAAGAAATAAATGTCAAAATGTATAAAAAATATATTATAAATATATTAAAAATCTATAATAAATGTATAAATATATAAAAAATATGTATAGTAAATATATTATTAATAACTAACTTTTGGCCGATTTTCATGTATATTTCATATATTTTATTATAGATTTTTAATATATTTATAATATATTTTTTATACATTTTGACATTTATTTCTTTAATATATTTTTTTCATGGGGGTATACTCACGATAAAATAGTGAAGGCATTATTAATTCGATTTTGTCTTTTCAGATTATCAGTATGGATGAATCTGTTTGTATCATTTGCAATAAGGCAGATGATAAGCAAGTGTATGAAATAAAAAAGGTGTCTTGTTTTTTGCATTTTCTCAGAAGCTTTACTATAGTAACATATATTTTTTTTCACCATCGGAAAGTAGAGATTTCAACAAACAGAAAACATACCAACTTTTTGAAAAAAGCTGATATTTTGACGGGTGAATTTTCGATTGAAAATTAGGGTGCTTTTTCGATATTAATTCAAAATAAGGTAAAAAAATAAATATTTTTAATCAAATAAATTACAGCGTATTTGGAACATAAAAAGGTAAGTTTTCACCAAATTTCGTAAATTTTTTTTTTTTGTAAAAGATAAAAATAAAAAACCAAAAACTTGGTTTTTTGAATTTTTCACATAAATTTTGAGGTTATGTGAAAAAAGTGTAAATACAAAAGTTTTAGATCTTTTTATTACCTACAACTTTGTCATATGACTTTTTTCGATAGGACTTTTAGTTTTGCCGGAAATCGAGAAAAACCGTTTTTTACCCTTAAAAACTCACCCCCATCTCCTTCCCGACCTCAGATCGCCCGTAAATTATTTTTCCTTTTATTTTTATAATATTCCCCTCCTTTTCTAATGGGTTGCATCCTACTATTATTTTTTTTCACTTTTTATTATTTTTAAAGGCTTCTACCCTTTTTTTTTTTAACGTCCCTGGGAAATGCAGTTTTTACATAGTGACTCCCGGCGTAATACAGCCAGTACTTAAAACCCAACAAAATTTATAAATTCTTATTGCACTTAAAATCAATACAGATCTGAATAAACAATTATTGGGGTTGCTCCACAGTCCACTCTGCTATCAGAGAAGTACCAGGAGCAACCCGCATGGTACACCGCCCCCCAAAGAGGGCCACCTCCCACCGCCCACCGAAGTTGGCAACCTCCCTGTGCGTTTCTTAGCTTCGCGCCCGGTTGGATTGCCGGGCACGACTGAGCCCCCCCACCACGACAAGGTGAACGCACGTTGGGGGGGAAGGCTTCTACCCTGGTCTATTGTATAAGTCCCCTGTTTCATCAAATCTAAGTTTTTACATAGTTAAATCAAGCAGTAAAAACAGGAAATTTAATAAATTCTTTATTGCACTTAAAAAAATCAATACAGTAATTTAAATACAATTATTGTTTGCTACTTTACTTTTTACTTATTTATAAATGAAAATTAAGAACAAAACATTATATCATGCAATACTATCAGTCCCCTGTCACCTGCTGTATCAAACGTCGATGTAAGTCTACATCTGCCCCGCGAATCCCCTCGCGGTCCTGGTGCAGTTGAAGGGCGCAAAGTAACGCGTCCTTTATCGTTTGTACTGTCACTTGAACCCGCTCCGTTTTCATGAGGCGACGGACGAGAAAACCTTTGGCATAAGCGACTATTTTCGTTGCCGCTGCTCGCTGGGAGGTACATAAAATTGTGTTGATATTTTAGAAATATAATTTTATGGACATTCGAAGGAAAACAGGCCAGGACAGGAAGGATAAAAGGACGAAAGATAGAAAGTGGGATAACACAAGGAGGATATACGAAAAAGTGGATATTAGATACTGACAGGGTTAGAGTATATAAGAATCGACGGAGATATAATATTTATACAGCTTTGTTTACCAAAAGATTAATATACATTATTACAAAATATAAATTAATGCTTATTCAAAAATAAATACCTAATAGTACTTAAGCAAGAGTAACTAACCGTAAGATAGATAGTAATTATAAGTAAAGATGGTTGTAAAATATAAGAATCCTTAATGAAAGATTATCAGAAAACAGGTGCATTTCACTTCCCATCACTTTAACTAACACATATAAATATGATGACTTACCTCTTGAGGGGTTGGTGTTCTGAAGAGGTTAGACCTCGGCCGCAAACATATATTATTTATGGAATTTGGTATATTTTTAAAACTATTATCTGTAGACCGACATGCTACGGAGACAGGCGCGGGACTTTCCGCCAGTCCACACATTATGACTGTGTTATGTAAATATGGCTGACACTCCTCATCTGACGGGAAAGTGACGTTCAAATCTGCCATCGTATCGTTCGTTCGATCGGTCAAAATCGGGTCGTAGTCACGGTCAGAAGATGCACTAGTTTCGTACACAAGTTTTCTGGCCGTAGGTGTGTTCTTGCGTACAGGAGAGTGGGTTCGAGTTCTGCTGCCATCGGTTGGTTTTTGACACTTGTCGTTTTCTGGAACAGTCTTATTTCCTTGTTTCTTCATACTTCCTGTGATGTCTCTAGACTTTTTCAAAACATTGTCGCAATAGTTAATATAATTATTTGTCTCAGTCAATGTAGAAAGTACAGGACTCTCGCGACTATTGTCTGGTGGCTTATGGTTCATCAACTGGCTCAAACTCACTGGCCCTCGGTCGGTCTCTTTGTTTTTATCGTTCCAAGCTTCCTTAACTTCATTTGGCGATTTCGGACATATAGTTTTCAGTTGAGTGAAGAGCAAATTATTCTGTTCTTCGAAAACTTGTTGGAGAAGCATTTGCTCTTTCTTTTGTTTTTCAACTAGATTCGCCATTTGAATCAGTTGCTGCTTTTGGATCTTCTCGTATAGTTCTCGAACGCGTGTCGCCGGGTCATCGGACTCGGAGATTGGTTTTTTTGTCGTATCGATTTCTTTCTTTGCATTGGTTATTGGTACAACTGGAGTTTTCGTTGTATTTGGTATGGGATTTGGTGAAGGACTTGAAGTTTTCTTAGTTTTGTATATTGGATCAGATTTAGTCGATAGCTTAGGAGGGCTACGTTTAACTTTCTCCAATGCTAAAGATTTCGCTCTAGGTGGTATCGATTGAGATATCTTTTTTGTCGTGGGTTTCGTAATAGGACTTCTTGTACCGTTTTTAATATTTTTCGGTAAATTCTTTTTCTTTAACTCTAATGCCATTGACGACCATTTTTCCTTTGCCGATTCTAGGTCCCAGCTTCTTCTTTTTTTATTTGAGTAGCTTATGTTAGACATGGATTCACTCATAGAAATGGATGTCACATCCATTCCTGTATTAATAGATTGTACTTGTAAATGTGCAAGTAGCAAGGGGCTTGGCTTCAAAACTGTATATGACCGTTGACGTGTTAATGGGATTGGAGATACTTTAATACTCTCAGTATGAATATCATTGAGGGAACCTGTAAAGCTTTTAGAACTAAGCGAGTTAGGTCCGTCTTGACTGAAATGAATAGTTGCCATTGGGTCTGCTATGACATCTTTCTTTATGCTGAGACTGAAACTTAGTTTGTCATCCTTAATGGTATTATCATCTGCATTTAAAGATTCTCTTTTGGGACACTCACAATCTCGTTCTGGCAAATCAGTAAGGATTTGAGAACTGTTGACGCTATCAAGTAAATTCCTACCAGTATCATTGATACTCAAACTCAAATCTATTACAAGTTTTGATGATAGCTTCGATGAGATACTATCTGTGTCAGCTGTGAGTGTGGAAGAAAGGTTATCATATGTGTTGCTAGAACAAATTTGGCCTGTTGGTTCCTCAAGAAATTTTTCCTTCACAACATTTATTTTTTCAATATTGGAATTGTAGTCATGTAGAATATTTTCATTAGAAAGGACATAGCTCTGTTCTGATTCAGGAATTTCAGGTGCATCAGTCTTGTCCTCACTTGATTCTGTATCACTGTCAATAACCAATGGTTTAAGGGTTTGGATTCGCTTTTCTACCTCTTTTGCTAGTAACTTGTAGTACTGCATCTCTTTACGACATTCTTTAGATAGCTGAAAGAAATGTGTTTTATAGTTGAACATAGTAATTAAAACAGAAAATAAATATGTAATTATAATTAATATATTTAAATACAATTTCAAATATTTCTTATTAGAATTAGAGTATTTTATAAGATGTTTTCAATTTTTTGAAAAGAAAAAAATTATGCTTAACATATATACAGATATATTTTATTGCTTAGAATAAAGTTAGCTTTTACCGTTCACCAGTTTTTAAAAGTTTTAATAATGAAGTAAGTATTTTTATCTATTATATTCAAACACACCTATGTCTTTTAATAAAACAAAATACTAAGAACATATATATATATAAACTTACAACAGGAGGTAAAAGTGGAATCCCATTAATCTTCATGCAAGACATGTACTGGTTTGATTGTCTCACTGATTTTACATCCCACGGATCGTTCATCGCGCCACGATTACATCAGAATTCAGAAGCTAATAACAGACTAACACCACCGAAAACTAAGTGGAAACTATGTTTATCATATTTTCTCACACGCAGGGAATCAAAAAATACAAAGATGGCTTTAATAGTCCATATATTTTATGAAGGAAATTAATTTGCCAAACTTTAATTTGTCTGATCAAAACGATGTTGTCATGGTACGATTACGTCAGTTATTAAGCCGGTTGAAAAACAATTAGATTGGCATATTATATTATATTTTACTTTTTGATTTGGAAATCCGAATGATAATGCAGATTGCTTTAACTTATGCCATAAATCAACGAATAACGATTCACAAGTATCACAACAGCATTCTCGTAATTTGAAATTATAAAAACAAATGGTTTGTTTGTTTTATAGGATTTAAATAAATTGAATTTTACCATTTACGTCCATGACAACAGATAAATAGTTAAAATTAATCCAATGGAAACCTTATTGTACTACCTTGACTTTTCTATTAACCAATGACAGCAATTTTATACTGTAGTGAAAAGTGGAAGCAAATGTTATCTTTTTATTTCCACGTTATTGCGATTTAGGCTAATATTTTTGCACCTACTAATATTTCCCAGAATTCATATTATATATCTTTTAAAATTGAAAAAATAAAATAAAATAATTATATCTAAATATACTTTTTCTGGTTTGATATCTAGTATTATAATTTAAAAATATCACGATATTATTTTCATTAGGCATTTGACCCTTTGAAGTTTGAAAATTGAAATTGTCATTTGTCAGTGAAATGTCAATTTGACATTAAAATTTAAAATGATTCACAAATATTTTATCTCAGAAACTCAGACCATTTTAAAAGTATTCTGCATTATTGGCCTGAGTATTTTATGAATCAAATCCAAAATTATTAAATTAAAAATTATATTACAAGTTATAATATAATTATAATTTTCAATATTGGATCCCTTACATATGTATTAGCTTTAATTTTCATAGTAAATAATAATAATGGATGTATTAAAAATCAAAAACATGTGCCCAGCTGCTAAGCAAGCAATATTAAGTTTTTCACTTTCAGGCATAGTTTTTATCGTCTCGTTTTTCTCAGCAAGCGTTCTTGGCTTCACATCCGAGCTGTGGGCGCTCACTTACTGGGGCCCGGCGTTATACTTTTGTCTCTTAAACTTTGTTTTACGATATTCTTTAAAGGGCTTCACATACGATGTAAGTAGATCTAATTAGTTTCTACTGTGAATTATCATTTGAAATAATCTCTCACCTATTACAGTTCGTCTCACTATAAAAATATTTTTTTGACATAATTGGGAATTCAATAATACTTACAGTTTTAACTTAATGTTGATTGTTATATTATAATGTTTTTAACTCCTGCGGTAATCAATTATGATTAGTTTAGTTTTTTATTTAAAGACTGCTTATATCTAATTTTACTTTTATAAATTTGTAGGTTGCAGTCAGATCTGCTTTCCTTGGATCAGTGTTTGCAACAGGTTTTTATTTTGCAACATTTGATGACAGTTGCCATGTGTTTGGACTTTATGCAATGGCTTTTTCAATGTTCCATTTCTCTGAGTTTTTATCAGTGGCTCTAACTAACCCTCGTACACTGACTATAGATTCATTTATATTAAATCATAGTGTACAATATTGGGTGGCTGCTGTAGGAAGTTGGATTGAAGCTGCTGTGGAAAATTACTTCTTCCCAAGTAAGTATGCTATATCTAAGTATGTTAAGATACCATAAGGTACTTTCAGCCTTCTTATAATACTAGTTTAAAAAAAATAATTAACAAATGCAGAATACAATAAGTTGTTTCATTAATTGTGTGTACTCCTTTTAATTTTTTAATCGGATGGAAGTTGAATTTAAGATATTTGAACATGGTGTTTGTTTGCATTATTTTTTATTATTTACATTTACATGCTTCATTCAAAAAATTAAAAATGGTAAGATTATATTTTGATTATATTTTTAGACATGAAGACAGCATTCTGGATATCTCACATTGGTGTGGTCATGTGCATTGTTGGAGAGGTGATGAGAAAGAGTGCCATGTTCACTGCTAAAACTAACTTCAATCATCATGTTGGTACTTCATATTTTAGTCAAAATCGCTTGATTCAGGATGAAATAAAATTACAGCTAAAATTACTACATTTAATATGATAAATTTCTAATTCAGATGAAAAATCTTCAACAAAAATTGTATGGTGGTACAAATCTATCTGTGTTTGAGTCAATTTACACTTGACGAACGTTTTTAACATGTTACTTGGATTGACTAATAATTTTACTTACTATCAGTCTGCACTTATTTTTAGCCTTTTGTCATGCTCCAATGACATAATGAATTTTTGCATATTCACCTCTGTTAGCAAGTCGCAATGAAGTAATATATAATTAACAAAATTGATTGTTTAATAAAGCATAACTAGAAAATATTTGAATGACCAACAAATAATGACTACAACGAAATAAAATCATTTGTTCAAGTATATATTTTGTGCCCGGCACTTTAATGGGATTATGTTGTATAATGTTTCACTAATAATCTAGACTTATAACATATTTCATAATCTATATTTTGTATCCTTAATCCCTCCACGACCGCGGACACGCCGGCGTGTCAGTTATAAATATGTATATGGGATTAAGCCGGCGAGAAAATGAGATAGAATACACTGCCATGTTACCATGGCAACTGTTGTTATTTTATATAGAATACATTACACAGGAAGTGAAAAATTGAAATGAATTGTAATTAAATATATTTGTAAGATATGTATGATTAAAGAGACTTCTTTATCTTTTAAATATTTTTTAGCATAAATAAAGTAATAAACATTATACTTTCAGGTGCAAACAGTGAAAAGGCCAGACCATGAATTAGTTACACATGGAGTATATGCAATTTGCAGACACCCAAGTTATGTGGGTTGGTTTTACTGGTCTATTGGGACTCAGGTAAATGCAAAAATATATTGAATTATTCAAAAAAATGATTGTTTAGTCATAAATAAAAATAACTAAGACAATTTATTGTACTAAAAGTATTTTCATATGTTTAAAAATAGGTAATCTTTCACGATTTAATTTTGACTTTTAAGTAAAACTACATAACATAAGACTGGGTTATATTGTATAGTAGTGTGTAAATCTTAACACATTAAATATCTAGTAATTAAAGAAATAGATTATATATTTTTTGAATATAATATGATGAGTTGACCAAATTCTATGCTTTTTAAAATTTCTGTAATATACTGTGCTGTAAATGACAATTTTTACTTCTTTCTAGCAAAAAATCTCAAGATATTACATTTGTATTGTACAATCAATTATTATAATTGATATATATTATGAATAGCTTTAAAACTTTAAAAAAATATTTTCTTAGATAATTCTTCTCAACCCATTCTGCATAATCATATACACGCTGGTCACTTGGATGTTCTTCAAAGAACGTATCTTCGCTGAGGAGATGTTCCTCATATCATTCTTTGGCAACCAATACTTGGAGTACCAGAAAAAAGTTGGAACCGGTCTGCCCTTTATCAAGGGGTATATCCCCGATGAAGATGGAAGTTGGTGATGAGAAACCCTTGGAGTTAACGGGTTACATTCTGATGAAGGGAATATTGCCAAATCTGTGGAAATGCAAGTTTGAAGAATATTAATGAAAATAAAGTATAAAAACAAACATATATAAAAAAATAAAGTAAATAAATCATTACCATCTTAATAGTTCTATTAGAGCTTTCGATTTTATTTTTTTGGTTGATCTATTAATGATTAACATTTTTATTATTCAATCTGTTTTGGGTATTGTGCAATGTTGACTGAATGGCATGTATTTAAAAATTTATGTTTTTATTTAATTCTTTAAACTACACTCTACATTCAACAACTTTTTTTAATATATTGGTACCCGTGGTTGTGCTTAAACCGGTTTTGGTTACTGATCCCCAAACCTTTATGGTTTATGGTTTCCGTTACATTCTTTTACCGGTTAAACCCGGAAAACTGTTTTTGAGGAAGTAGGTTGCATTTCCATTTGGCGAATCTTTGCTAATGGTGAATTCTTTAGTAAACGGATAAATATACGTTCCTTACGTATGAATGAATTAACCGGCTTAAAACCAAAACCTAAATCTAACCTTCCTTTAAGAATAACCATTAACCATTATTATTTCGGTTTACTAAACTCTGTTCGTTTTTTTAAGAATAAAAATTTAACATATACATATTCCCTTTTAATATTAATTAGTATTGGTGGAGTATGTTATGTGTAAAGAGACAGATTCTCTCTTGGCCACGTATCCAACAAAAAAGCTCATTATTATATAATTGCATTTAATGAATGAATGAAATATTTTGTAATTGTTGTTGTGGATGTGTTGATCTCAAAAGAATAGTAATTTTTATTTTATTTTTTTATTTTGTACTTAGAATCGTGAAGAATATAAACAAGGTGTCCAATCTCTGCATATTCAAACGTAAATAATATGGAATGTAAAAAAAATTCTATTTACTTAGTAAGCAAGCTGTTCAAAATAACTAAGTGTTATAGAAAGATACATAATTATTTTAACGTGAGTTCATTTTTCAATTAATTAAATTCACACTGATTTGTTTGTCACTAACTTCGCGGTACTGACATACAGCTAAGTTCACCTGGTAACTACGTAGTACGTAAATCAGCGCGCCGCGTGGCAGTCTCTGGCTATAGCTCTAAAAATATTTGCAGACGGATTTCTCATATGAAACATTTATGAAGGTTGGACTCCTTGTCTATATTATTCATGCTTAGAACTATTTTAATGAAATGTGACATTCAAAGGAATTAGACCCAAATATACTAGTCATTATGTATTTTTTTTCTAAAATAAAAAATCATTCTTAGTAAATAAAATTATATTTTAAGCACAATTTGGTGTTCAAAAACCTTTTGTAACTCAATTTAAATACATAATTACATTAGGTACCATATAGGTCCTATACAATTCTAATATACGTATAAAGATGAAATTTTAACTAAAGTAGTATGGGAATGACTACATACGTATGTATTAAAACTAAAATTATTTAGTAAAAAAATACTTTTCACATATAATTCGATTATATGTAAAAAGTATTTTTTTTATTAAATCTATATAATGGAGAAGTTTCCAATTTTTTATGAATTAATTATAAAGATTTAAGTAAATTATAACAAAAATATGAAAGAATTATTAAAATATTTCAACAAATGACAAAGTTTCAACAAGTGACAACGCTTGCGGGAATAATTTCGTGAGTCGTGACGTCACACTACACCACACACACCTGATCGAACGAAATTCAAATATTAAAAATAATCGCGTGTGCGTCAACGTATTTAATAGTAGGGGAACCCACGATGCTAAATGGGGATTTACTCGAGCGTCGTAGAGACCACTTGGGATGCAAAGCTTAGATGATAAGAAGAAAAAAATGTTATATGATATATACCTTTACATCGGTGGGGGAAGCGGCTATAGATTTTTAAATATGTAAAAAAAAACGGTTGCATAGACATCCTCGAGCGCGTCAGATGTTGATAGCATCAATGCCCTACGTATTTTTAATAATGTACGTATGTTAATCTGATCGTTTGCATGATGCGGGTGGTTGTATTTAAGGGTTGAAAATGAAAAAAAAAATTTAATCGAGCGCGTCAGATTTTCTAAGGGAGTGTTAAGTGCACCAAAAAAAGCTCTCATTCACTAATCTGACGATTTCGATGGGACGCAAACTCGCGGCCATTTTCATAATGTGCAAAAAAAATAGCCATTTTGAAATACTCAAGCGCGTCAGATTAAGATATATATGGTTCATTTTTATGTTCTAAACGTACTGTCTCATAATCTGACGATTATCTAGAGGGATTCGCCTGATCTGACAAAAAAAAATTAGAAAAACGGTTCACCTTAAAGGCCATACCTGCAACTTCCCGCTAATTCCATTCCGGGGCGCTTAAAATTGTACTTATGACATTTTTGAGCTCAAAATAATAAATAAATTATTTATGTGATATTTTGAGCTCGCTGAGTTCAAAGAAATAATATTTCTATGCATTTGAGCTCTCCCAGCTCGAAAGTCTGATAGAAGTTTCATAGAACACTATTTTTGGAATTTTCAAACCGCAATAACTTTTGAATAGATCAAGCAATTTTCACGCGGTTGACGCCATTCGACGCAGTTTTATCATCCTCATAAGTTATTTTCAGGTTTTAATTGATCGAACCAAAAATTTCGGAGTAATCCCGAAAAAACACTTTTTTCGGTTTTCTTTCGTTCACGATATCTCTCGAACGAATCAACCGATTTTGACCGGATTAGCGACGATCGGCGTGGTTTTTCTAGCTTAAAGGCGGATTAGTTTTTGAAGTTAATTGATAAAGCCGGTTAAAAGTTATTCCAAAAAAACCACTTTGAGATTTTTCAAAATTTCTCAAAATCTATCGGTCCGAATCGGTTCAAATTCACAGGAAATCTAATTTTGAGGGAAATCTTTAGAACGCCGTTTAGTAGATTCCGATCGGTTTAGTCGTTGAAAAGATATAAGCGAGTCACACATACACACACACATACATACATACAGACTTAGTGACAACATCATACTTCACACAAATAATATTAAAATAGCAAAAAAAGCCAAAACGTTGGAAACACGTTGTAAACAGTATGCCACGAACGAATCTTTATGATCAGCTGTGATGGCGTCATGGCGGCAGAAACCAGAGTGGGGACGGAGTGAGAGAGTAATAGATAGAGAAAGAGTGAGAGAGGAATAGACACGCGGAGAAGGAAATGTAGGCATCACGCAGCTGCACGCATTTAACTTTGTCGACGAATTTTTGTTATTTCGGCTTGCGGAAATCGTCAGATTATATATTTTTCATTATTCTTGAATTATTTCCTTCAAAATAAAAAAAAATTTAGCTAAGCTCGAGAATGTCGAGATGACGTTTTTTTTTACAACTTTGTTGCCCTCTCCTTTTTTTACGTCACTCTCAAATTGTCAGATTAGTGGAATATACACTTTTTAGGATGTAATTAACTCACCCTACCTTAATCTGACGCGCTCGAGAATTTCTGATGGTCAATTTTTTTTTACTAATCTGATCCTGTATCCTTCACGGGCGGCCTTATATATGGGCCTCATGTTTTGTGGAGGTACTTAACCGGGTACAAGGTATCCCCCTGTATATTAATCTGCCGCGCTTCAGTAAATCCCGAAATCCCCGCTTGGGCTCCCCTACTATAAGCAATTAATTTCTCAGTCATTTATTGATAGATTAAAAAAGCACTTTTTTATTAGTTTTAACCTATATTTTATTTCCATTGCGTTAAATATGATATTAACAACATTATGAAACTTCTCAATTAAGGATTTAGGCACAAGAATATCCTTTTAAAGAGCATTTAAAGAAATTATAAAAAAATGTAATAAAGTAGCTTTTTTAATAATAATATAGCCATATCACAAAAAGTTTTAACGTAATTTTATAGATTTGCATGATGAATGTTTTAAATAAACAATGCGTTATATATATTTTTACCCAATGAGCTTAATTGCTCTGAGTGCGTAATATATTGCCACACTTTTTAAGTCTACTTTTTACCCGACCGCGGCAAAGTCAATGAAGGCTAGTCCAAAATTATTAAACTGCAAGAGCTTCACACATAGGTATGTCTCAGCTACGTAATATGTTCATAAGTAACATGTTCATAAGTAACTATTTTCCATCTTTTTAGATCGCTTTTTACGCAGTCGGTTTTTTTGTTATAATTTTTTTTTACTAATATTGAGTATGAGAAACTGACTGACTGTTTACTATCAGACTAATCGAAAAGTAACAAGATTAAAAATATAAAATTTAGTATTCTCACTTCTATTTTTGTAATAGATAGAATATGTTATTACTAATAGTTATATAATAATTTATTAGACATTGCGTATTTTTCTATATACTAATTATGTATTGTACTGTAGGTACATAGTAATTTAAAATTGTTACATATTGTGTTCTTAAATTTTCGATGTGTAAGAGGTTGTGGGTGTGTTTAATTAAATATTATCTTTAATATAATGAGTTTTAATTAGACTCGTCGTCGTTAATTAATCTGTAGACTGGGTAAATAAATAATAAACTAAAAATACGTTTTTGATATCATTTGCACTGTAGCTTTAAAGTATAAACGTTAAAAATATTGGTTTGTCCGTATTGTATGTATCAATCAACTAATATCCGGAATAAATGCTATTGGACAAAAGTTTCTTATTATTACAGAAAAATTTTTTATTCCCATTAGGTATTCTACCTTTCCCCCGACGTGTATTCGGTCTACTACCTTGAAAAACGTGCGGTGAAATATCGCAGTGCGGACAGGCCGTTATAGGAGTATCCGCACTGGCGGTTAAAAATTCGCGCGGAAAAAAAATCTGTGATTTGATGCAAATTGAACGCGATGCGGCGCGGATTATTTCCGCGCGAATGTTTTGTACAGTATATAGAAGTATGGCTATGGCCGCACTGCGAAATAAAATTCGCGCGTTTCGCTCAG